CAATTCTTACTGTTTGGTTGAAATCCAATTGCAAATTGTCAGAATAGAAAATTGTCTTGAGGGAAATGTTAAAACTTTTGGCTTGAACTTTCACTATTTCCTAATTCCTTAAAATAATTATTTTTGTCACTACCATCTTCATGTATCATTGCACCTCTCTTTCTAGTTCTCCTCCCTTGCTACGTTGTCCTCTGACGTTTTAGCCCCCTCCCCTTTCATTAAGTTTTGTGGGTTGAATTAGCGTTCTTGTGTTTCTGATGACGTTATGTGCACTTTTCCGTGGCCTCCGATTCGTAAACAAGCATAACTTAAAATTTCCATCGATTAATTACGCAAAGATATTAATGTTTGGGTATTTTTTTAAAGATTTTTTTTAATTTCTTTTTTTTACTTTTCCTCCTCTGCGATTCAAGAATGCTTACTTATATTAATGTGATTTTTTATTTCGATCTCCTGCAAAACGTGATGACTTGCCAGGTGTCGAACCTCGAGCCCGCATGGTCTCATCAATCAACATATAACGTAACAAATTTTATTCATTTTCACGTTGCATTTCACTTATTACAATTCCGTTCGTTTGAAACTCTCGCTTTATCGGCCCATTAAAAAATATAGTCCAAATCGCTCGGCAAATCCATAATGGATGCCATGAATTTGTGCGAATACAATTAGGTTATACGAGTGATATTTGTAGCTTTTGCAGCTTATTGTTACGTTAACTTTTCTAGTTACTTGACAATCAAAACAATATAATAATATTTATCCCAACCCACTAGTCTGAATCTGCGATTACAAGAAAACATCGTATTTAACGAATGAGACATTTAGAGAAAAATTTAGTCTTATTTTCTGATAAATACATACTATCTCTTCATTCGGAGCAACTAAGCCTACAAACCCCTAAGAAAATCAGGAAAAAGGGTATCAACATTCATCATTTTCCAAAATTAATATTGTCCCAATCAAGGATTTTGCCACTGACAACCCATTCCTCGGGTCCATGAAAAATGTTGTTAGTTGTATGTGTTTTGTCTGCAAAAAACTGTTCATTTGTTTTGATTTAAAAAAGTTAAATGCAAAGAACAGAAATATTTGTGCGATTCTTTTACTAGGCGTAAAAGGAACTGCTTCTTTAGCACAGGGGTACCACCAGTGGCGTAACGTCAATGGATGCAAGTGATGCGACGCATCCCTTCGCTATTCGGTTGGTTTTTTGATTTCTAATCTTTGCAGTATATGTTTTTCATTTTCTCTATGCAAATATATATTGTCCTTCCTTTGGGCGCTTCAGACCGCTGTATCGGTTACTGAACCTGTTTTTGTAACACTGTGGTTTCGCGTAAAAGAGAGTCATCTCCGTTCCCCATGTTCTATTCTGCTTCAAGGCCAATGAACTTCGAGAAGGTTGTCTATACTGGGGGGTGGGCTTACAAATCACGTGACGCGTTTCTGCAAATGCATTTGATATAGAGACATCATAACGTACGGCGGAAAAATATGAGTAGCAACCTATGCTGTTAGCACAAGCGATTCCTAGAGAATTAGTACGTATTGGCTGTATTGTGTCGCTGCCGAGGTTTGTTTTTCATATCATATCACATTTGTTATTTACAATATATTTGTATTCGTTCGGTTTGTATAGGTTCTGGCTGCTCATCTTGTTCGCAAACTTAATTCAAAGAAGCACTATCCTATCAGACATACGTCACGTCACCATCTTTTTTATTTTGAAAACCGTTCAAACTAAATATTATCATGACCTGAGCGATGACGCCAAGGAGTTAATTTGTAATAAAATGAAATATATGAATAATTTGGATCCACATGCCCTTTCATCTGATATGAAAAGTACCAACAAATTTCGAGCCCCTATGTTATTCGAGTAGAGGTGATTCCTTCCGTAAATTTTTATTAACTGTCGGCTTTTAAAATATTTATCAGAGAAAATTGTATTAATTATTATCATTAAGAGAAATATTACATACATTCAACACGCCTTCAAAAGATTGTGTTATCCTCAATGATTTAAATGTTAGCATTTTTCATCAAACGTATTTTCAATATCTTTTACTTGACAACTCCTAATGAATATTTGATGTCATTTTTTGCGATACAATAAGCACATATGACGTGATAACCCTAGTGGAGAAGTAAACATGATTTGGTAAGCTACGTTATATTTGAGCTTATTTTTAAACAAATAGTCTTGAATATCCACAAACGTTTAGTGTCTGATTGTGATGTGTTTGTTCAATGCAATGCATGTAAATGAAAACTTATTTTGGTGAGAGCTATGTGCTTTTTAAGTGAGTTGCTTATATTGTAGCAGAAATATGGAAAATTTACATAAATTTATAGGTGAAATACCTGAGAATGACGGGAAAATGTTTAGGTGTTTGAACGGCGAATTACGAAGATGGAGTTACTTGTATGTGACCAATATTGACTTGAAATAACCATGTAACGTTTTGATAACGACAAATCGATTGACGGCAAAACGTCTGTCCGTCTGTCTGAGAACAACGCTAGCGGATAAACCATTCAATCGAATTTCTCCAAAACTGATATTCCCCGATCGATTTTAATTTTAGGGGGGTACTTTACATTAAACCCTTGGGACATTTTCAAAGTTTTCAAAAAAATTGCGCCATCGATTTTGATTAAATTTTGTTGGATAGTCTGAAAGTTTAAAAACGGCGCAGGTCTCATATTCGTTAAAAAGTCTGATTTTTCAAAAATTGAAAAAAATCTATTTTTTTGCGTCTTCCTACAGCTAAAATATTAGAGATACGAGATTTTCCCTTTAATGAAATCTGTTCTTGAAAAATATATACTGAAATAAGTCATGTCCAATATTTCGAAAATGTATTTTTTCCCGCCGTATTCCGCCGGAATACAGTTCGGCCTCACGGTAACCTGCCCATTGAATGCCTGAGATGGAGTCGCCCTGCCAGGTCAGAGCCTCTCACATGTGCCGGAACACCAAATCCCTTCTCATTGCCCTGAGTATTGGGCCACTGCCACGACGAAGCCAAGAGCCCACCCGAACGTGCAGCGGGCTCCCGCTACGCGAAGCGGAGGAGGGCGTACGCGGCAACCGCTAGCAGAACATAGCTTTAAATGGTATCCTTCCCACTGGGTGACGTCGCAGCACAGAGCTGCTGTTTATACCTGCTGCGGTCCCTTTGTCTGTTGTCGCCAGAGAGACGGCGAAGAGCCCTGCCGCTTGACGGAGGTGCGCTGCCGTGGCCGCGTGGGAAGGTTCGGGACCCCCATCCCACCGCCGTGAAATAAAGAGTCCGGGAAGGTCCACAACTTTCCACCAGAGACCGCGAGACCTACGCAGACACGACGCCCCCCCCCCTGCGGGGTACTTTTGCGCACATCGTTTCCTACGTGTGGGCAAAAACTTCACAGCAACTCATGTTCTATCGGGAAGCGCAAGTTCCCCGGGATGGGCGTCTTGGCCTTAGGGCTCTAATCCGCACCCCCGCTACCACACAAACCGTAATCCGGAGCTTTTGCGAACAGTGAAATAAATGTTTGTTCGACATGAACGCGGGCCACTGTCCTGGCCCTCAAGGTGTGGTGAAGCGATGCCGCCGTGCTCCGCTCGCCGCTCGCCCTCCGCCCAATTATTATGAATTAAAAAGAACACGAGGCATTATTCTCTCTAACTTTTGTGTATCAAAAAGGGACAAATAAACGGCAGGCATAGAGAAAGAAAAACGAAAATTGTGTAGGGTTTCCAGCGTAGATCACAAATATCCCTCCTATATGGTTTCGAGCAGCTCCAAGGACAGGGATCCGTTGATTTCAATTATTTTAATTTAAGGGAACAGCCAATGGAATTGCAAGAGACAGTGCATGTCATTTGTCATAATTTGGATAATATTTTTCATTTCAAAGTTCGGGAATTTTGTTTCATTGGAGAAGCTATTAGGGGAAAATCCTTAGCAGTAGTAGGGAAAGAGCTTGCTACACATCTGGCAATCCTGTTTACACCATAACCTATACCACTCAAAAATGAAACAAGTGAGATGTTTTATCTGCGATGTCTCAAAGCATTACGATAACGGCTTCCTGTCCCCCGAGTACCCTGTACTCGAGGACGGCATGTTCGAGCGAATAAAATCGCGAAGATGCTAAGCTCTACTTTTCAACCGTGGTCATTTCCGGAACGGCCTTCGCAACGCGTTCATCTGGATTTCGGTGAGCCATTGTTCAACCAAACATGACTTGTGATAACCGATGCATATTGAAAATGGCCGATAGGTTATTCCGTTCACAGGTGTACGAGTACCATCGGCTGCTACAATGATCACTGCCTTGTGCACCATTTCGGCTCGATTCGATTTGCCTGAGGAGATTGTGTGTGGCAATGGCCCTCAATTTACGGCGCAAGTATTTCGCTCATTCTGCGAGCATTGGAGCATCCGCCACCGGTTTACTGCACCGTACCGTCCTGCAATTATAACTTACTGCAACTTATGGCCAGCTGAAGCGATTCACCCGCTCTTTCAAAAGGGCATGAACAGCGTTGCCAGACGATTAAGTGTTTCCCTTTAACAACCTTCGAAGATTCTGATACTTTCACTACAATTCCTTGCACCAATTACAATTGATTCTGAAATTGTTCATATTATAATTCTATTATGTTGTATGAATTTAACAAATTTGTTAAATTTAACTCGAGACATTTTATATCAGTTTTTTTCATATTTAAATGTTATCGAGACATTTTATATCAATAAACTAAATGGAAACATTGCATATGTATAACACTTTGGGTGGAGAGAAAAAAGTATTTCCATCATAAATGGCCGACTAAGACGTTGTATCCTCTTCTTCTATAGCAAGTGCAGGAAAAATAAGTACTCTTAATGTTTTAATGGCAGTGTTTTCACAAATATCACAGTTATTTCCAATATTCGTTTTAAATTATTGAATAAAAAAGTATTATTGAAATCTTCAATCGTTCATCAATTACGTACACTTATTTACACACTGGTATTCAAGCGTGCCAGGATGTCTTCATCCAGGCACATGGTATCTTCATTAAAATCCTGGGGAAAACACCAAGATGCTGGTACGTCTGACAACACTAGGTATGAAAGCAATTGGTCCTCAGAATTGGCGAGCAATAGTTCACTTTCTCCTCGCCTTCCCTACGACACCTACTACGCACGCTACACCGGCCCATACTACGTCTGAATTACTGCTCTGACGCACAGTCCAAGGGATTTGCCGAGATAATCAGTTGCATATGAAGTTTCCAAGAATCTGGAGCGTACAAGGCGTACAGCAAGTCAAGGTCGCTTGTGGAAGTCTCAAGTTGGCAACCTAGTCTGGTGGCTGGATTATCGGCATTCGACGAAAAACGGAGGGCCGGAACCGTAACTAAAATATTGGGTCCACGACATTTAGGAGCTCAAACGGAGATTGGCGTTTGGAAACGAAATGTGGATCAGGTTCATCAGTGGAGTACGGTCTGAGGGGGAGAAACTGTAGTGCATGATCACCAGTTGCCCGTATTTATTTTTACTTGAGTTCCGTTGCTACATGAGACTGTACTTTGTTTCGAAAATAAATGTGTTTGTCTAAGATCCACAGTTAAAACGATTAATAAATAAAAAAAATATTCGGCCGATTTAGATGAATTTCCGGATTTTGTTAAAGACTTGTGCGCCCGCCATTCACCCGTACCTCTCCGTTAACTCACATATTTAATGTATCGCTGGGGTCGTATGTCTTAGTAATATACGCAGGTAGCCTATTTCAGCTGACACAGATTACTTCCCTTTTCTGTCTGATTAAGAATATTTGACAATCTCCCCCTGCTCACTAAATACTTTGTAATTTATAATTTTAAATATTTTTTCAACAATTCACTGAAATAGAATGCGTATTTTTGTACGAAATAAATATCAAATTAAATTAAAAATAATATACTATTTGTATTTATCCATTATGTGTCCCGTAATGGGCAATTGGCCTCGGCGCCATTAGATCCCGGGGTTCCTAGTCTGTCACCCCACAAGGAAAATGCGATGTCTCGAATTCATTCAACTTTCGAGATTTTACGTAGTTAAGGAATTCGGCTAGCGATGCCGGTTTTGCGGTTGTAGTCTTTCAATACAATCATCCCCGATCATCCTAGCATTCCCCTGGATTACCGGAGGAAACTACAAAAACTCCTGGCATCAGGATGGGCGGCACAGGATTGAACCCGGGCCTCCCTAAAACGAAGCCAGTGGCTACTCTCTGAGCCACTTCGCTCGGAAAATATATTTATATTTGTCAATTTTAATGTTCTTCTTCTCCCTCAGGCATTAGACCTGTTGGTACGTTGCGACTCTCTGATCATTCCATCTTCTTTGGGTCTGCCAATACTTCTTTTCCCTCGAGGTGTGTAGAAGAGGAGTTGCTTAGGTAAACGATTATTTTCCATCCTTAGAACATGGTCATTCCATTTCTTTAGTTTGCCCTTTACATTGAAAATTCCAAGGTTCTCCCAGATGGTCTCGTTTTTCGATTGGTCTCTTCTTGTTACTCCTAGGATCGACCTCAATAATCTCATTTCAGCTCCCTGTAATCTGCTATAGGATTTGGAATTTAAAACCCAGTTTTCACGTCCGTATAGGCTACAAGGCACTGCCATAACTTTGTAAATTTTAAGATTGTATCTTCTCGTATTGTACCTCTAAGGGTCCTTTTAATGGTGCTACACATAAGGTTGAATCTCTTAATCTTTCTTTCAATATCAACTTTTTCTATGTATGATATTTCACATCCTATAAATATAAAAGTATTTCCGTTTTCAATTATCCTATCTTCTAAAACGAGCTTACATTTTATGAAGCCTTGGAAAGCTGTTTTGTACAATTCGTAGAGGGCTCTCTGTAGATTGTCTTCATTATCAGCAACTAAAACCTGGTCGTGGCATCACGTCGGAGGCAGTGGGCAGCTGTCTTTCATTCTATGTCTTCTGTTTTGTGATAGCTCCCTACGTCCCCCCTCCACCGTGGTGATTAGGGGTTCAGGAGCGTACGTAGTGAGTCTCTTTCGTCCTTTTCCTTGGTGCTTAAAATAGTAGACAAATTCTTGCTTGTTTTGCTACAGTTGCTGTTTCTTTCTGTCATTTTGGTTAATTAATGTTCATTCATCATTAATGTTCTCTGCCGTAAGGTCCTCTCCCAGTTGTAGATTTAGGTCGAATCTTAATTTCTCCCATCTACAGCAGGGAAAACAGTGTGTTCTGCTGTATCTTTGGTCTGACAGTAGCGGCATCGATCATCTAGAGTTTTACCAATTCTAAGGTGTATACTCCAAAGTTACTGTTAGGAATTGAGTTGTATGATAGTTTAGGTGGCCATGTTTGCGTTTCACCCAGGGCTGGATCTGTTTGATCAAACGTGGTGTCCGTGTAGCTTTGGGCGTGTTGTCCCACTCGTTCTGCCATTTTCTGAAGGATTGTTCCCTGGTCTCCTCGTTTGTTGTGCTTTCCTCTCTTGCTTCATGTAATGCCTTTCTTTCTTGGGCCCGAATGTGTATTGGCATAAGTCTTGCTAGAACCAATGCTGCTTCTGCGAAAACTGTTCTGTATGCCCATGGAGTTCGCAGCGCCATTTTCCTTTGCGTCCTGATGAGATGTCTTATTATATTTACTCTGTGCTGCTTCTACCAGTATAGGTGCAGCATAGAGTAAAATATTGTGTATCACAGAGCTCAGTATTATTCTTTTCTCGGCTGGAGCCTCCTATATTTGGCATCAGTCTGCTGAGTGCGCCAATTGTCCTTCCTACCTTTTCAGTTACCATATTGGAGTGGTGTCCAAAAGTGAGTCTCTCATCTATTACCACCCCTAGATAATTAACTGCTTTCACCGTTTTCACTAGTGTCTTGAATCGTGAAAATAACAGGTTTCGGTCTTCGTTTTCCTGGCAAAAGAGCGGCCTCCGTTTTCTGGTGTGCCAGGGTTAGCGAGTTTTGTCTCATCTGTGTGTTCAATATACGCAGGGCTGCATTTCCATTGAACGAGAGTTCTGTCGTCTTTCCGGTGACTACAATTGCTAGGTCATCTGCGAACGCGATAAGTGTCGTCACTTCGGGAGTAGTTTGTCGGAGGACTCCATCATATAGTATGTTTCACATATGAACTGAACCCTGCTATCATTTGTAATTCCTTGCCTTTCCAACAGTAATTGCTCTTTGGGATAAGTACGCACCAACGTTATTAAGAAGGTAACGTGCTATACCTCTTTCCTCCAACTCCATTATTGCAGATCAAGACGCACTGTTGAATGTGTTTTTTACATCCAGTATTAATGCACTCAGCAGGCCTTTGTCGTTAGCCTTCCTCGCTGTACTTAGAACATTATTGATAGCTCCATACGTCGATTTGTGTTGTCTAAAGCCATACTGCCTGTCGCTCAGGTTTCCTGTTCTATTAATTTCTTCTTTTAGTCTTCCTAAAATCACGTTTTCGTACAGTTTGCCCAGAGTATCCAGTAGGCATATGGGCCTATAGCTTCTGAGCCCATATTTAGGTGTTAGTAGTACTCTGGCCTCAGGTACGTGGGAAGGTTCCTCGCTTTAATAACGTTTCTAAGGTACGCTTCATGTACTCCAAGTCCACATCAACCAGCATTTTTACTGCTTCCGGCGGTATTCCATCTGGTCCTGGTGTTTTGTCTTCTTTTAATTTCTTTGCGACGTTTCGGAGCTCGTACTCTGCCAGTGCTGGAATTTCCTTGGTGTCATTTTCGACGTTCCATATTTTCTTAGTATGTCGTGGAAAGAGACTGTTGATGATATCCAATCTTCTTTCTAAAGGCAAATGTACTCAAGGCTTTTTTACGCGCAGTTTTGTTAGCTTTTCTATATCCGTCCCCCCACACGTTTCAAAATGCTGGCATAGTTGGAGCCAACACTTCCGTTTTTCTAGAGCAATTCTTTTGCAAAGGGTCTTTTTTAAGTTTTTATATATACTGTCAGGACTCGGTTCACAAGGGGAATTTATTGTTTTTTGCCTTTGATGTTTTCTTCTAGCGGCAAGGACTTCCTTTCTTAGTGCAGAGAGTTAAGGTGCCCACCATGGAGGATCTATTTTGTTGACTCTTCTTCCTTACTTCCACTTCTCACTTACCATAATAGCTACTCTTGCTACTGCTCTATATTATATATCATTGTATATAGCCCAAAGTTACTGGTTCCTTTCTGATTCTTTTTTGACTCAGATAGCATTACCAAGCCCAGTTTGGTTTCATTCAGTAATTCACATTCTCTGGTAGCTTGACCACGTACATTCCAAGTCCCTATATTTACATGTTCCGATATTCAAAATTGTTTGTCGTTTATCCTTGCAAACGCTTCCAGATGTTGCCGTTCATGATCACTGAGTGAGCCAGTAGCAAAATTACCCCCTGGCTATGAATGCTGTGAACACAGGGCAAGTTTGGTGGTGGGGCTGCCACCTCACTGCTTCCAAACCAGCAGGATTTGCTTAAGGTTTTCTCCACAAGACAGATTGCTTTCTCAGGAACACTGAGGACTGTTTCCTCATGGACCAGTCTGCCACCAAGGTCCTCTTCATCTGTAACCATAGGGAAGGGCCCTTTGCTAGGTACTGACAGTTGGAGCCAGCTGAGCCCAATTTTTGTAGGTTTGCTCCTCTGAAAATTCTTTTACATCAAGAACCAATCCTCTTCTATTCCTTGACTCATTGATTCATTTTTAATTTTATATTATTAATTTTGTTATGTATTTTAAATAATGAGAATTTATTTATATTTTTATATGAAGTCGAACAAAGTGTCACCAGTTGTATAAATAGCCATATATATTTTTGGTCAAAAGTGTTTCTTAAAAACTATTCTCATATTTTCCATATCTATCCGTGCCACTCACCTGAAATTTGATACATTAATACACAAACAACATAAACATTAAAAATATATTCCTTGATAACTATGACAATGTAGAATGTATGCAAAATTTGTGCAAATATTTGTACAACACTGGAATGAAATTTACATTTTTCTACACTTTTGTGATTTCTCAGGAAAAATATGTGTACTTATATTGTGTAAACATTCTACAAGTTTTATGCAAATTTTACATAAATGTTACAAAAAGTTTGGAAACAAAAATTAATTAAAAATACAATTTAACATAACGTAATCGAATATATCTTTTTGTGTGTGTAACAAAATGGTTTAACTAAAATGTCACAAAAATGTTTCAAAATTAGCAAAAAATTTATGTGAATATTTGCATCATTATTATGTTACAAGTGGTTGTAGATTTGTAAACATTTCATACAAATTTTGTGCAAACAGTATTTATATAAAATTTGTACAATTCCTGTCAGGTTACTCTTTTTTTTTTTAGAAGAAAAAATTCATATTTTTCAATTCATTGGAACCCCTGGAACAGGTCCTGCCAGACTGGGTGGATGTTATGCAATGTTAGTAACCTTGTGGTTTACTAAATTAATATTTACTTAAGAAAGACACAGACTGATCAAATTTTTGTACAGGTCATAAGAAAGTAGAAGGCAAAGTTTTGCAACAGTAGTAAGACAGAGAAAGCAAAGCCCAAGGGTATTGTGCATGTGTATTCCAATTTCCGAGAGGAATATGTATGTGCATTTATATTCATATTCATTTCTGCATTTTTGTTACCCAGCTTTCGAAATCATGGTTCTTGAGATCCCGCGTTCAGGCAATTTACCTATGGCAACACTGCTCCAAATATACTACACATCACATACGTATCAGAACATTCTATTTGAGCACTAATTTATTTACAAAAATATTTGTGAATACAATGATTGAAATAAAATAGACTTACAAAATTAACATGCGCAATATATATGTAGTACATTTATTTAATTTCAATTATATGACAAATTTGCCCATTGTTCTTTAATTTACAAAAATTATTCCGAGAGTAAAGCTTACATCTAACGGAATAAGCACCACTCAACAGTCAATACACATTCTTTACAAGAAAAAGTACATAAGTAACACCAGAAACATTTGTTAACATATTTATCTTTCCATTAATGTAGAAACTCAGTTTTCAAACTTTACCAAAGGTAAAAATGAAGGTAAACAATTGAAAATAATTTGGAAAGTTTAAGGGACTTCAGTTCAGAAGAAAATACTTCTATTCAACTAATTCTCACAAGAGATGACACATTTATCAATAGTTATAATATTCTTGAAGAAAATGCCTGTAAAACTAGATGTGCAAAGCATATTTCAACTTCAAAATCCACTTCTTAAAAAAATTACAGAAAATGCATTGACTTTTTCTTTTCAGTCTACTTATTTCTCTTCCTCTCACGAAATGTCTAACGGGTCATCCATAAATTATGTGTAGTGTTGCAAAAGAGAGGAGGAGTAGCCTCTTTCCCATATTGCCAACACACCGTATGTATGGCTTGTCCAAAAATTTCTTGCTTATGCATCCGTCTCCCAAACTTGTTGCATTACATAATTAATGGATGGTGCCTAAGGTTTTGGTAACTAATGAGAACTGACAAATAAACACAAATGCAAAATAGTTATATGTACAAGATAAAAGATTGGATATTCAGAAATGCATGTTAGAACAAATGTGATGAGAATACAAGATACCTGCATCTTTTTCAACATTAAGTTCACCATCTCATTTAAAAATGCTCACAAAACAATGCAAGTTAATTCAGAAGTACCACTAAGAAGTACATTATGGGAATATGCCAAAACAAACCAATCAATGATATTAAAACAAAATAATGTAATACAACCTGAGCAAACACATTTGCACACAAGTACTGAAATCTCATGGGAAGACAAATTGTAACCAATGTAAGTTGTTGTTTTTTTGTTTTTTGTTTTTTTTCAAGAAAAGGTTCTGCATTCATCATTATAACCATTAAATAGTCTTAAAAAATTGAAAGTTACATTAAGTGATGCAATTAATGAAATGAATAGGTAAATATTAAACTAAAAATTAAAATATCACAGAAGAAATGTGATGCAAAATATTGAGTTTGTATGTGATGTCTAACATGTTAAATAATAACCTATATTCCAATTTTAAATTTAATTGATGCAATTTGACTGGGAATTTAAAGGTATGGCTCCCAGCCAAAAAAGAGTCGACTCAAATTGCCCGGATCAGAAGCTTCTTGAATGAGTCGACTAACCTGAGTAGGAATAGAAACCCCAGCCCCCATTTCGGTGCCCAGCAATTTCTGCTGCAGACGTTGTAATGCACGTTCTGCCATGCGATTAACTTCAACTGAATCTGAAACAGTTTGACAAATAATAATCAAACTATAAAAAAATGAACAAATTTTCTGAAGAGCTGTTATACAGCTACAAACAAATGGATTTTTCCTAATTAATTAAGTAGAAAATGATGCCTCTACACTCTCATATCAGATATTTCACAACTCTCGTAATAAATTTTTGAAGCACCAACTTTCATTCTGTGTCGTAACAAACCCTGGAAACGACAATTCTTGTAAAATTGCTCTGGCGAGAAACCTGATTTTCTTTGACATGAGATTATTGACGATCCAATTCTTGCCATAATCTGAAGGACTTTCTTGGAGAAATTTTTCAAATCTCAACATCAATCTTTCTCAAATTAGCAACATCATATATCATTTTTTCTAACATTTCTGGTTCACCTCTGAGGAGTTTCCTCTCCACAAGCATATTTAAAGATCCCCCAAACGTTGAATGCAAAATGGAAATTAGTGGTAATGACTTCCTTTGAATTAGGCATACTCTATTTACTCTCTGAAGATTACACATAAATAAATAAAATTCTCTTAACAGATCAATATAAAACTTACCACTGTCATCCATAATTTTCACATCTTTCTTTTGTAGTTTATAAGCTTTTGATGGTGTAATGGTCCATGCATACAAAGGATCATAAAGTAATACTTCCAAAACAGTTAGTAGAATTGTTTGGTGTTCACGCAAAACAAACATTGTCTTTTCACAAGATCTGTCAAAAATAAATACAAAGGGTTTAAAAAGTAGGTCATTATATAACTGGCTTGAATTGAACAGATTAATACTTACTTTTGGAATACTCCTTCTGTGCCTGATACACCCATTCCATCAACAATATCTCTCGTCAAACGAAATGGAACTGTTTCAGGTGTAGGCAAAACATGGCCCATTTCAAACGCTATTCCTATAGCAAAAGAATATACCATTATTAACTGAAAATTAGTAACGAAAATGAAACCTGCACCATTCTTTTAAGGTTCCCTGTTCTATCAATGTGAAAAAATATTGAAGAAAAAATTTGGAGCAGTTTATGAAAAAAATATTCTTTTATAAATTGCATTAATTTTAAGCATAAATTACATGAAAACTACTTATTTGAAGATTTGAATTGTTAAGATTTTGCACTCTTTGAAAATCCAGCGAATTTGCCGGAAATGAAATTAGAACCTCTTTTTTATTACGATAGGAGGAGAAAATTTAAAGAAAAAATTGTTTATAAAATTTGCCATCCTTTTAACATGGCCTTTGTCCTATCCGAGGACAAAGTTTAATCAAAATATTGGAGCCATTTTTGAGAAAATTGTGAAATTGAGGCGTCATGTATGGGATCTCAAAAAATGAAAATATCTGTTTCAAACTCAGAGGATCTCGAGTTTATTTCAATCATTAGGGAAATATCAAATTTGGAAAAAAACGGGTTGAACAGTTTGGGCACTAGCATATATCATGATCAGAGAGACAGACGTTTTGCCATCAACTGATTTTTAGTGCACTATATAGTAAAGTATATTCACTTTTTTGTTACCAGGACACAGAAAATGAGTTTCTGCTGAAAAATTTGTTTCTGGCGACAACAAATACAATACTTTTTCTTAAGACTAAAGAAAAAACATTGCACATACTAATGTGCTACTTACCAAAATCAATATGGATAACTTCTGCAGTACTTTTGTCAATTAAAATATTCATTAAATGTCTATCACCCAATCCAAGAATGTAGCCAATCATGGAAGAAGTAGCAACACTACACAAAAACAAGTTTGCAATTAATTAAATAACTATTCTAGTGTCCAGCATTGCATATGTGTTTATTTATCATATTCACCTACTAGGCAAAACAGTAATGAATAATTCGCTGACTCCCTTTCATCTATAGTGCAATTATAATACAATAGAAAATGGATTTGCATCTTCATCCTGCTGCATCCCTTCCAAGCAAGCACCCCTATCTCCACCCCACCCTACTCTGCTATACCCCATTCATGCCCTGTTCCTCCCACCTGGCCATGATTAACCAGAACCTGCAGCCTGCCCCACCCCAAGACCAATGTACCCTGCCTCATCCTACCATGCCACACATTGCATTGCCATCCATACAGACCTTCTGAACAACTTTCAGTCTTTAAAACAACTGAAGCAATTACCAAAAATATCTGCTGAAATTGAAGCACCCCAATTCCAGAGAATATTTCACTTGAATATTCAGATTCCCAAAGAAATATAGGGATTGCCACAAACACTATGGATGTATATCATAACTTTTAAATAAAGGTTATAATAAATGAGCATTTAAATACGTTTAACAAATCAAGTTTGAGTTCCATGATTATAAAAATGAAAAACTTAAGGGATCACGTTGGCAACCTAACTTAGTAACTTCAGCATCACAGATGGTAGTCACTTGCATAATCGATTTTGAAGACACAAATGCCAAATCACTAATATGACCCAAAAGAAGCAATATCATGGCATGGATAAGTTACTTTATTGATGTTATTATTTAATATTACAACATAATTTGTTGGCTACAAATAAATTAAACTAATAATTAGGGTGATTATTATTGCAGAAGAATAAAATTTTGCAAATGTTTCATTACAAAAGTAGTTAAATCACACTCATAACTTCACAACAACTAACGCAATCCCGAGTTTCAGAATGCTGTCAGGCAATCTGATTTATTTTGTGATTCAGCAAAATAATTGCAGACTTAATTAGTTCAGCATATTTCACAGGATATGACTATATATAACTGTTTCTTTATTGGAAAGTACTAGTTCTGTAGAATAACAAAATATACTATTTGAAAGATATTTGAAAGATATTTAAAAGATATTCTTACCTATGAATATATGCTAGTCTTCTTTCAAACCAAGAACCTGGTGAAGTAAAATGTTCTAAAAAGAAATATCGAAATGCTGGATGAATAGAGCAGCAAATTTCTTTATAAGCTTCAAGTCTTTTCTCGGCAGACTTAGTGCAGACAGTCTGAGTAACAGAAAACAGATCAGTGTTCATTCCGAAATTAATTATTCCAAAAACATAATCACAACTCTCACCCTCATTGTCTCTCTACACTGCATTGATGGTTTGTCGTTTGGATAGTATTTTCTGTGAGCTCCAGAACGATGATCACTTCCAGTCAAATACATAAGAATAGGTATAGTATTTTCACACCATTCTATAATGCCACTTCTTTGGGAAAGAGGTAAAACCTACAATCAAAAATCAGGTGATATCCTACAGAAAAGAAACCCCATATATCCTAAATAAACATCATAATGAAATTAATAAACAAACCTTATAAGTTCTTATTAGAAGTTTGCGTTTTGATGTATCTTTGCTTTTTCGAAGAAATGTGTTCATAATAGTGAAAACTTGCTGCATCACAGCATCCTGACGCAAGTCATCTTTCCCCTAAAATTTTTAAAGACATAGCATACACAGTACACAAGACATTACACTAAAGCACTGAAAAGACCAACTTTGAAGAGAATGCTAAGCAGTGTCAACATCTAAGTTTTTATTTTAATTCATAAAAATCTTGACAATTTACTTTATTTTTATTATTATTATAATTTTTGTTGTTGTTATGATTATTATTATAATTATTATTACTATTATTATTATAATTGTTGTTGTGGTTATTAGTGAAAAATAGAATATTCCTAGTGACAATACATTGTGAAACCAGTGCAGAGATATGGCAATTTAGAACACACAAGGCTAAAAGAAATTTCTTCAAAATCAATTTTGTTTCCAGATTTTTACTTTCTTGAATAGGTACATAGTATTTACGGAGTAATAGGTTTATACATAGTTCAGAGACAGTTACATAAGGCTGTGGAAAATAGTTTTTGAGATTTCAAAGGAAATACACTTTTTTGTGAGGCCCCTGATACGTAAAAATTGGTGATCTGCTTAGGTAGTACAAAGTAATGTAATGCTGCAGGGGAAAATGATGATGTTTCAACAGAAATTAATTGATTAATTTTCATTTTGTAGCTCTGTTGTGAATTTTATGGATGGGTGTCTGGAGTGAAGAAACTCGACAAAGAGGTTGTATTGTCTTGTTGTCCCGGTGCCTAGAGCTAAAATGTCATCGAGGTAGCGGTATCACTAGGTTAAATTTTGTAGTAGAGGATATTGTGCCTCAAACAAGAGTGTTTCAAAATTGTCCATGAAAATGTCTGCAATGAGTGGTGACAGTGGTGAGCCTATCGGAAGACCAGAGTTTTGTTTGTAGAAGGAGTTATTGAACATAAAGTAGTTAGTGTCAATGCAGAGTGAGTACATGCAGTAAACCCAGTAATACAGCCAAGAGCGTGGTTAGGCATCCTGGCAAGGCACCAGATACCGGAGAGAGCACCAGTTGGATGCTCTTTGGTTTCAAAATGATTTCATTTACACTGATATTGCTGCAATATCTTGAATACTGAATGTTATGAAAAAGAAAATGAATGTTCCTACGACATTATGAGATCTTTTTCAGTTATCTGGCAGTTGTGCAACTGTGCAACCCAAGCACAAGTCGCCACTGATTTATCCACTGTTTCATTATTAATACTATGACATCTACAAGTCTCCTTTGTCTATTTTTATCCACTTTCTTATATAGCTGCTTTGTAAGTTTGAGTTGCTCAGCCAATAATTCAGAAATCATATTCATGTTTTCAGGCATTTAAAATCCACTGAATTACATATGTAAACTTCCTTGACAATTCATGTTTTTGAATAGCTTTTGAAAATCATGTCAAAATAACCATCTCTACTTCAAGTACTTTTCTTAATTGACAATAAAACACATTGCTCACGATAATGCTTTGTTTTAACGTCCCTACCTGTTAGCCGTTTATGCAAAACCACGAAGGATTGAATTTTTCCCCCCAGCACAATGCACAACCATACTCAATATGGGAGTAGGTTGGCCATTAAAAATTGACTATCTACATCAATTAGATGAGAAAACGGTGTACATATAGGGTCTTTAGCTTAACTTGTATTCCATGTCTGGAAACATCACATCTTCTTTTGGCAATGCATGAAATACTTTTGGCAACCCTTCACGTTTAGCGACCCATGGCCGCATGCCCTCAGATTTCAGAGTAAGAGAATGTGGCTAATTTTAGTTGGAATAAAAAGAAAGCACTTATTCTGTTCTTGTTACTCTTCAATGCATCCACTATACTGAAAAGTGTCAACGCCTATCTATTGGCATATTGGTGGTCACTTTGAGCATTTACTCGACAGCCAGTTTTTTGTCATTTTAAGGAAATTATATTTTATTTTCAATAATTAATTTACTACTTATATATGTTTGATTGGTATTTTAAATAATTTATTAAGGCTTTATTTGCTTAAAAATCAGATTTAATAATAAATAATTGTTATAAATAATGAGCTTGGTGGTAATGTTCATGAGCAGACTTTCATTAAATAATAATTATTAAGTTGGTGTTAATAAATTGATCAACAGGCATAACTTCCCTCCACATCTTCAGTATTACTGTTTTGTTTCTTAAGTATACTGGACAGAATCACCTAAAGAGACGTTTTGTTTCTTGCTTATGTCTCTGCTCATCCCTCCCCACTCCACCCACTCTGTGCAGCGCGAAAAGCTTCTGGCGTGTGAGCTGTCAGCCAGCCATCTTAAGCTCTTGAATGGGAAAAACACAGAAACAGAAAAGTTGCTGCTGTTTATGACTTGACAGTTGCCTTTTCTGCAGTCTTGGCGTGTGAGGCATGGCTATCTTGAAAGGTGGCAAATACACACGGTTGCCAAAACAAGAATAAGTGCTCTCAGACATTGGTTGCGAGTTAAGAAAGTCCTGTAATAGTTCATGCACTGTATCTGTCATAATATTATGTAAAATCAGATTTAAAAATAAAAAACAAGTTACACCAATAATCGGCGGCATTCTAATTTAAAATGAAAACAAGTGGTGCTACAGAATAGCACAGACTCTCCCGCATTAGGTTTCTGTTTCCTTTAGTCTCTGTTAGCTATTCGAACTTGCCAAATACTCTAACCAGCTGCCATCTATTGCTGCCCAAAGTACATTTTTCTGACATTTTCTTAATTTTTCAGTTACCTAATAGTAGAACAAAAATATTATTTTACGAACATTAAAGAGCAGTGAAACCTTGTCCTAAATGGCATTAAAAAAAAAGTTGTATTAAGAAAATTGTGTTTAAGGGTAAATACGAAATTTGAAGCTCATTTTCACAGAAACATTTTGAGTTTTCGAAAAATTTCATTAGAAGTCATTTGAAGCACATTTACCTAAAAATACTCAACAAATTGATTAAGCACTTTAAAAATTGATGGAAATGTTCATATTTATAGCGTGAGAGATCTTTCAAACAAATTACATTTGTGTAATTTTTTTTAAAAAAATCCCCAAATTGAACTTTACGTCATTTCAAAGAATGCAACAGGCACTACCATTTGAAAAGTTTGAAGAAAAAACTTGGAGCCACTTGTGAGAAAATGACATTTAAACATTTCTGAAAATGTGGAATTTTGAGCCAGTTTTTCCAGAGAACTGATGAGTTTTCAAGAAACTGTTTCTGGCATTATTTTTATTACAAATTTTTATATTCATTAATTAAAAAAAAAACAACAGAAGAATAGAGCAATGTGGTGTTAATTTCATCTTATAGAGTATATTTAGCACAATCACAACCAAGCGTTAAAAGAAAAAAAAATGGAGCAGTTTTTGACAAAATATTGTTTATGTAATTTTGAAACTTGCAAATACTGCATGCAATATTGCGCGAAAACTACTAAAATTTTTAAAAAATGTACATGACTTCAAAGAAAACCCATTATGAACAACAATTTTTCTATGAAAGAAAAACCTGTATCTTCAATTTTGTAGATCTTGGAAGGCATGGAAAAAATATTCAAACTTTTGCAATTTTCGAAACTTCAGAGCTTCCGTGAAAATTCGTCCTATGTGACCTTTATAAGTGTATCTTACTCTATTCTTACAAGAAATTTATAGAAATATTGGGCCATTTTTGAGAAAATTTTGAAAATGTTTAAGGGTCTTCATGTGAAGAACCTTCAAATTTTTAAGAACGTTTTTCAAAATCGCGGCGCCTCGAGTGGAGCCAGATTGACTGAGGAATATTGATTTTGAAAAATATCGTACGTATTGTTTAGGCGGAAGTGTTTTTCACAGACGGACGGACATTTGAAAAAAACAACACTTTTTTGGTATTGTGAGACACCAAAACTCGTATTTTCGTTGAAATCTTGACATCGATTTTTCGCAGTAACATAACTGCAGCGCATAACCGCAGTAACATAACTGCGATTTTTCGCAGTAACGTATATTATTCCTTTTATACGCACGTATATGGGAAAGTAACTAATGGTGCTACACAATGGCACCGACTTTATTAGTTTTCTATTTCCTTTGGTCTCGACTAGCTATTCGAACTTGCCACATACTCTTGCCTGCTGCCATCTATCGCCCCCCCCAAAGTACTTAAAAAAAATAATTTTTCTATTTCCTAATCGTAGAACGGAAATATTACTTTAAGAATATTAAAGAAAAATAAAACCATAGTATACGTATTTATACAGTAGCACAGATCCGTGTTAGCCTTATGACGACGTGTTGGTTAGCGACTCTACCGATCCACGCGCCGATCAAGGAATACTTCGTCGCCTTACAATTTGTAATACTGCATCGTTCAATTAACTATAACCAAAAAGTAAATTTGTTAACATATTTTAATTTATTTAGGCATATAGCGAAAACAACACGTGAAGTAAAAGTTTCGAACAATTTTTAAAAAAAGCATTTAAATGTAATGAATGTTTTCCATTGTATGTGATAGGGAAATCATGAGCTATTTCTATATTGTTCATAAAAATATACACAAACGTCGTCCTAAATGGCAATTTTCTTTGAAAAATTTAAAGCTGTTTTTAAGAAAATGGCGCTTAAGCACTTCAGTAAATTTGAAGCACTTTTTCACCGATAATTTTTGAGTTTTCGGAAAACTTCACTTGAAGCGCTGTAACTCACAAACACAACAGTTTACAAATGGCTAAAAATGCGCAGATTACCGGCGAGAGATTTCTTTAAAAAATTGTGAAATTTTTTAGGAAGAAAAACAACATAATGAACTTTACGTCATATTAAAGAGTGCAATGAGCACTATCCTTTCGAAAAGTTGAATTACAAAAATTGGAGCCGTTCTTGAGAAAATAGTGTTTGAGCGTTTCTGAAATTGCGAAATTTTGAGCTAGTATTGACAGAAAACGTTGAGTTTTCGAGAAGTTCTATATGAGATTATTTAAAGGACATTTACTCATCAATATAATAATGTGAACAAATTGCCGCTCATGTAAATACTAACGACGTGAGAGACAAGTAAAAAATACATTTTATTCGTTTTTGAAAAAAAAAGAAAAGAATAGAACAATATTGCGTGTATGTCTTTTCAGATAGTACATTTAGCACAATCCCTACCAAAAGTGTAAAGGAAAAAATTGGAGTTGTTTTTGAGAAAATCGAGTTTTTGTAATTTTTTTAAATATTGCACAAATTGCACGAAAACTAGAAAAGTTTTCAAAAAAGTACGTGACGTTAATTAAAGACCAAATTCCGGACAACAAATTACTTTTCACGGAAAAATCCCTATCTTTAATTTTGTAGTTGAAGGAAGATCCCGAAAAATTCCACTTTTGAAATTTTCGAAAATTCTAAGTTAACCGAGATAATTGGACCTATACCACCTTCATTAATGTATTTTACCATATGCTTAAAAGAAATTTAAAGAAATAATTTGGAGCCATTTTTGAGAAAATTTTGAAAATGACCCAGGGACTTAATGTAAAGTCCCCCATACACCAAATCGCGGAGCTTCGACTGAGGTCAAATGGAGAGAGGTTTCTTTAATGTGGAAAAAATACTCTGCATGGTTTAGGCGCTAGTTTTGTTCACATACACCAAGCAGAGGAGATGGACGGACGTATTGAGAGAGAGAAAAAAAAATCGGTTTCGGGGGACCTCAAAACTTATTTCCGTTGAAATCTCGAAATGATTTTCCGCAACATTACATAACTTTCCCTATAGTACCTATATTAATCCGTGTATACGTATGTACACTGAAAAGTATTCTTCATTCTAAAGGAGCCAGTCAAAAGCCCTAAATTATCTAACGTAGGCCTACCTTGATCAGCTGCAGTCTCCTCACACCATCTGTACCAAGGCAAGTTAATTTCTTAGGAGCATTTATTCCTCCAACCAAACTGTAAGATGGCTCATATTTAACAATGCCTATGAAAACAAATATATATTAAGCAAAATGTGAACTCGTCCATTTAAACAATATTACTTACAAGTTCCCATTTCTACTTGCCTATTATACCAGTATATTTGCAACTCATTTCTACTGGAATAGTTAATGTGGGCACTAGAACTGTATCCACCTTTTTTAATTTCAACAAAGCTGCTTTCTCTGGGATGACACGATCTATAAAGTAAACAAATATCAAATATTATGTATGTATGTATGTATATGTATATATGTATATATATATATATATATATATATATATATATATATATATAGAGAGAGAGAGAGAGAGAGAGAGAGAGAGAGTGAAAGAAAGAGAGAGAGAGAGAAAGAAAGAAAGAGAGACTGAGAGCGCAACACACACGCACACACCTTTTTTTAAATTGTAAAGAAAAGCAAATATTAATACACTCAAGTGGGTAGAATGACCAAGTGGATAAAGAACTGCGTCTTTTTTTATTATTATGGTTTACTACTAATTTATTACTTTTATTTGTTAAATAATGGCGCAGTAAACAAGCTGATAAACACAACTGTGGTACGCCAAATGACACGGACGGGAGGGTTCCATGCCGTTTGCCGTGCTTCTTAAATAGCGGGAGCAAGATGAGAAACAGTTCTGTGGTGACTAACACGTACCCTCATCTACCTTTGATTCAAAATATAACACGTATGCCTTTTCGGCGGTCGGAGAAATGGGATGTCTTTGAGACAGCCGTTAACAGATTTGATGAATTACAGACTTCCTAGTCATTACTGAGTGTAAGAAACGAAAGAACATACACAAACAACATTCTTCATGCGGATTTACATACTTCAAGAACAGATACCGTGTGGTCTCAATATCAATTGACTCACGCAAGTGCAACTTTCTGTCACCTATCCTTAGTGTTTATCTCCCCAACCTCTTCTATTCCATCCACTAGGCAATAATACTCCTAAAATAACAATGTGAAAAGCGCCGCGACAATTTCAATAACGCAAACTAGCGCACATAAAATTGCGTTTTTAGAAGAACATGTAGGTGATAAAGAAAAATGGCTTTCACTATTGTCATCAAGATCCTGAACTACATAAGAATCACATATTTTTGTTCTGCAGCAAATTTCATTGCCGCACTGTGTTATTTGCGAACTGAAGTTTGTCCATAGTGTTTTTAAACGCATTCATTGTCGCTTTATATATGCAGTTTGTCCCAAGTGTTGACGACCCGATTGATGATGAAGTGATCCTTCTTGTTTCTAATTTCCCGTATACGTACGTATATACGGAGTAATATACGTAGTAGAGGGCAAGTTATAGAAAGCTGCGAACAATCGACCTCTAGATTTCAATGGTAATACACGTTTTGGGGTTCCCTGATACTGAAAACGTGGTTATTTTCAAAACGTCCTACTAAGAACATTACTAACACCTAAACCACGCGGGTCGATCCGGATAGACGAGAGCGCTGAGGCAGTAGTGTCGTGGCGATCTCAGATCGTAGGATAGCGGGTTCAAATCCTGCCTCGGGCATGGATGTATTTGTAATCGTCCCTTCACCCTTTATCACTATTATATTTCATTAAAGAAGGATTAATAATTCCCCGAGGGAGAAAAGACCCTTGCTCTTAATGGGATGTGCAGTTGGCTAATAATATAATTATATAATAATAATAATAATAAGTCTCCCAAAGTCCAGCCCTACGTCCGCAGCAATTAGAAACTTAGCCAGTGGGAGACGGGCAACGTCAGAAATTTGGTGCAAACTGGGCGATGGCACACCCATAGAGATATGGAGAGACACGGAATATGCGTCGTAAGGCCTCGGGAAAGCAGCCGCTCTGCTGGGGCGCCAGGCACCTCCGGAGCCACCGCTGGAGGTGACAGCATGTGAGCCGGTGGTGATCAGGAGACTGAACAGGCGGCCCTGATCGGGGATAACCCCGAATATACTACAGCCGAACATAGCAGCACCCATCCATCTCCACTGATAGCTGCACCTGTCGCAAGTGCTTCCGAGAAGCAATCTATTGCTTCCAGAGCCACTGCCGCAGGCAGGCAACGCAGAAGGATGAAGTGGCTACAGAAGATAAATACCTTCATGCATGCGTGATATACTACACCATTACCAAAATGGAGACTGGCACTACGGACCTACCGACAAAAGTTACACCAAACATTTCTTCACCGTTTCCCTGATTCTGAAGTTAGTGAGCAAAGAATAGCGGGACCAGAACGTCGAGTAATTTCAGAAAAAATCTGCCTCTCGCACCAGTTTTGAAGCAATCAAGGAAGACGTGAGAAAAAGTCTTAACTCCACAGAACCTCAGTAATCCGAGGACAGCGGAGATATTCAAGCTGTGACAAACTCAGGATTGACAATGGGGACAAGCATATCAGGGTGATAAGAGTAGTGAAGAGGAGCAAATCGCCAAATGGAATTTGCCAGTCGCAGCTTGCGAATTGAAGTTGAACTGACCCACTGAACCGCTATCTCATCCCAGACAAAATTGCTCGAAGAAATAGAGAGCAATCAGCGTCTTGAATGCAGAAAGACTGCCACAACATCTACAACAAAGGCACATCTTTCGAAGAAGTACACTCAGCAATTTATTGTGCTGCTGGTTGTGCTTCAAGACATGTAACGGTTCCAAGCTTTTCAGCCGCGAGTAGCAACTGCCCACAATGATCGAAGTGAAAAAAGAATGCCACCTTGGGAAGACGGCTGGGGTCTGAATCGTATAGGAGCACTAGGAGGAGATATAGGGAAGACTACACCAATTAAAAATGGAAATATCTCAGAAAAACTGAGAAGAAAGGTCAATAACATCCTTATCAATACTAAAAATACATACGAAGCACGAGCCCTTAGAATTAACAATAAAAGAACATCTGACACCTACGACAAAAGCTTTTTGCCGAGTTAACAAAACGCCTTCGACGACTACAGAAATTGCACTACGAGGAAGCAACATAATCACTTTTGAACAGAACCAAAAGCATTCTACAGGAATCTTACAGGTATTCTACAGGGATAACTGGAAGGCACCAGGCAGTGATGGCCCTGCACAAATTATTGGCTCAAAAATTTTACCAGCACTCACATTCATATAGCTAATACAGTTCAAATATTTTCTTCGCAATCCAGAATTCTATTTTTCACGTTCCTCACTGGTTAGACACATTCTTGTACCAAAAGGAAGTGCCTACGACTCCTCGAAGTTTACAGCCTTATTTAACTCTAGCACTGTCAAACTTTCTATCAAACTCATAACATCTTGTGTTTTCGCAAATGAGACACACATTGAGGAACATAACATTTTAGCAAATGAACAGAAAGGATTGTAGACCTGGATCTCAGGGATGCAAGAGCACTCATTATAGATTCTGTTATATGTGGGCAAGTGCTGAAAAACAAAGAAAAACTTGTACGCATGCTACATAGATTACGCTAAGCATTCGTACACCGTGCCCCATTCTTGGCTCCTCAATTGTTTTGGATGTATTGTGACGTAGTGAAATGAGGAAATAAATTCAAAATAACCAAAATAAAAATATTATATTGAAAAGTTACAGCTAGTTAACAATTAACTTGCTAAATTTTACAGCACTCTCCCGCAACCTTTTCCTTCCTGTAACCTGCTTTTACGCAGAAAAATAAAAGCCGCGCGTGAATGCGAGCGTCGGACTCCGTTCCTGGCAATCAGACCGGTCAATGACTGACGCAAACATTTAACACGGTCGTGGCGACGTGTGCCTTACAGACTGCGAGATTCGTCTGGCCTTACTCTCCGACATCTCGCCAACTCCTAGCACTCCTTGTTACTACACGTTACAAGTTCCCGATGTCAAACTGACTGAGGAAAGCGGGAGCAGATGGCCAGCGAGTTAAATAGTTTGAGGGCTTACACCCCCACCACTGTTCCTAAGATAGTGTGACGTAGTGAAATAAGAAATAAATTTCAATACAAATAAAAATAATATATTCAAAGATTATTTACAATTACCCATAGATTGCTTAATTTTTCTCAAACCAACAGATTCGCAAACCTCCTTTCAAGAAGCAGCTGCTTTACCGCAGGAAAATAACAAGACCACGCGTGATGCGCGGTGTCGTAACCCCGTCCCGTGACAATTACCTCCACATGGTCCTGACGCAAAATTTAACCCGCGTCGTGGCGACCGTGTGACCTTACAGCACGGCCGAGATTTGTTCTGGCCCTACTCTCGGACATGTCTCGCCACACACTCTACACCCCTTGTACAACCCACGTACAGCTTCCCGATGCAAACTGAATGATAACGCGGGCGCAGGTGGCGCCCGCCGTTAATAGTTTGAGTCTGAAACCCCCCACCACTGTCCATAGATAAGACGCAGGCCAGCCTTGTTACGCCCCCACACAAGAATTCTCAGATTGGCTGCCTGCTTCGTAAACGAGGCTCGCCCGGCAGCAATCCTCGGCCCGTTTACGCCCCGCGTATTTTTGGCTCTGCGGCACTATTGAGTCAACCGCCCGAGCGCAAACTCCCGGATGTTCAGGCTCAAAACCCCTTCCTCGCCCCGCAGCGCACTTTCACCACCTAACGGTTCTGCCCTTCGTGGTTAAACACGGACAGACCCTCCCAATGCTCACAGGGTAGGTTAGAATTTTTTTTCGCCCCAGCAAAATGTGCACAGGAAAAAAATTCTGCTAACTAATTAACCTTGGTGATTGACCCTCTACATTCTAAATTTTTTACGTTAAACAATAGAAAAAGTACAAAAAAACCAAAACCGGTCTAAATTACAAAAATGATTAAATCTATGGGCTGTGCCCTCTTTCTAGCTATTATTGCCTTTACCTTAATGACGTGATACACATGTAAACAGACACAATTTCTTTGACATACAGCTGAAAAATTCTTGAATTACATTAATAAAATCCCTCCTATATATAACAGAATCAGTCCAGCCTTCCATGATAGCTCTTTGAAGTTACAAATTAATCTGAAAATAACCCCAGACATAGAATATTCTGCTAGTATACAATTACAAAAATTGGACATACAATCATGTGCGCAGAGGACATATATTTCATTGGCGCACCTCCGTATGCGATCTACATTATGTAAAACAATAACAACAAAACACAAAGAGTGAAACTCCCTGAATTTACAATTATTTACCATGGCAGAGTTTTCACCGACATTTATAC